AAAAAAAATGTCTGCCTGGGAACCATGATCACGCCTAACAGCGACTTTGAAATCTTCAAAAAGATGACAGGAGCACACAATAACGATTCCACATGGATTATGATAAAGCCATTAAGCTGATTAACACTACCAAAAGATCAACTCTGGACTACAAACTACTCAGGACAATTTGAGATGGCTAGCTGAGATGATCCAGCCTGACAGACTACTTGAACAAGGACTTGAAACAAGCCCTGCACTTTCTCATTATGCAGCGACTGGACAAATGATACAGGACTTGACAATTAACCCAGAAATTTTCTTTTCAGGATTCCCTAAAAATGTCTTCACTCTGAGAAAGCAGGAAGTAATTTTAAGAGAACGACGCCCACATTCCCAAGAGGTGGGGTGGATGGTTTTGGGGGTCGTTTAATGAGTTATGGATAATTGTCATTGTTTATGATGGTTGGTTACAAGTTGTTAATTGTTAATGGTCAGGAAAAACACTGAACAAGGAGATTAGATTCAGAGTTTTTGTTTAAAAAAAAAAGAATATAGATATGAGGTAGATCATTGACTCTACTCTGAGAAAAAAAGATAAAGAAATAATAGGATAAATGGGTAGATCATTGAACCTACTCTAAAAAGAAAAAGAGGAAGATATAAAAATGACAAAAGGTAGATTATTGAATCTATTATGAAAAGAAAAAAGAGAGAATATGGATATGATAAGATAAAAAGGCCAATTATTGAACCTACTTTTAAAAAGGAACTACTTGTTTTACATAGGATAAGTAATGAAAATTTTTTTTGTCTGAATTTATCAAATGTTACTGGACTGGACATTGTTAATATATATAATGGAATTTTTGTCTGAATCTGTCAAATGTTAATGGACTAGACATTGTTAATGTAATTCTTGACTATATATTGGATATAGTTTTTCTTGTATTGATTATAAGCTTTTTAAATTTTAGACAAAAAGGGGAAATGTGGTGATATTGTGTCCCCCAAAATATCGTGCACCCTAATAAATTTATCTGGGGTCAGAGAACAGAACAGCCACTAGACAGACATAGAGGCCAGAAAATGGTGGCACACATGCTTTTAATCCTAGCCTTCTGGAGGCAAAGATCCATCTGGAATTGGCAAGGTGAGGTGGCTGTGGCTTGTTCTGCTTCTCTGATGTTCCAGCATTCACCCCAATACCTGGCTCCAGGTTTGTTTTTATTAATAAGACCTTTTAAGATTCGTGCTACAGCCCTGTCGTGGGATATCTTAGCACAGTTGAGCTTGTGCCCCTAACCCCCTTACCTATGACTTTTTGAGCTTGCTCTCTACTTTCCAACATACTTAGTCTCACAGTGCTGAAGAACAAGCTGAACTATGCCCAGAGACTGGGCTGCTAATGTAGCTCACAGCCCTCCCTCCCCATAACAGCCTCCCCACTGCATCTCACCTAGCAGTGCTGTGCACCACAAGTGGAGCTATTTCCACAGAAACATTTGCTTTTGAGAACAAAAGGGAGAGAGCAAACCAAATGTACTTACTGGACACCTTACAGCTCCCGTTCAAAAGAAATGGCGATAAATGTTCCACTTAGGTCCAGGATTGTCCAGTTTTGTACCTGTTTAATAAGAACGCTGGTGAGAAACACGATACATGCAAATGAGATGATGTCATAACCATGTGCTGGTTCTGAGACAGCCATGTGATCTTATTTGCCTTGAGTGTCATCACCTGGGAAATGCTGGCTGAATTCATTTACTATTGCATCCGTCTTGGTCTCTCTTTTGTCCCTGTGGTTAAAATACTCTGCAAAAGCAACTTAGGGAAATGGGGTTTCTTGCAGCTCAGTTCAAGGTCACAATTTCATTTTTATGGAGGAGTCAGAGTAGCAGGAGCTTGAGGCAGCGAAGCACAATGCATCTGAAAAGAAGTGAAGTAAGGTGAGGGATGGACGCATGCTGCTTCCAGGCTCCCTTTCTCCTCTTACACCATCCAGGAGCCAGCCTGGGGAGTAGCACCATTCACAGCGGCAGGTCTTCCCACCTCAAAATCCAGAAACCCCTAACAGGCAAGGCATGCACAGAGAGGCCTATCTCAAGGGTGATTCTAAATTCTGTCCTGTGGAAATAACACAAATCATCACAGCATCACCTCCTTTATTTAGTGTCCATCATTAGGCTAGTGTCATCCATTGCATCTTATGCACAAATCCTACACTTGTGAGACTGATTTCTTTGTATTGACATGAATCAATACTTAAGTTCTTCAAATAGGTTCTCAGAACTGAATGCTTTCTGAATAGGGTTGAGGTCACTCAAGAAAGAAAGCCAGTAATCAGCACATGGGATCTCATGAGAGTGTTTTGCACAACAAAGACATTCAGAGAAGAGACAGTTTCAAGAGTGAGAGAAAACCTTTGCCAGCAATATATCCAACATAGGGTGGGTATCTAAAATATACAAAGGACTCAAGAAACTAAACATCAAGAAAATGATCCAGTTAGAAAATAGGCCCTGGAGCTGCACACAAAATTATCAAAATAAATACAAATGGCTAATAAACATTTTTTTAAGTATTCAAATTATTAGCCATCAGGGAAATGCAAATTTAAACTACTTTGAGATTCCATGTTATCCTGATACCAATGGCAGTCAAGAACACAAAATGATGCTGGTGAGGATGTGGGGAGAGAAGAACAGTTGTCCACTGTTGGTGTGAGTGTAAATTGGTGCAGCCACTGTGGAAGTCAGTGTGGAGATTTCTCAAAAACCTGTAATAGAACTTCCACATAATCCATCTGTCCCTGCCCCTGGACATATATGCAAAGATTCAATGCCATCCTGCAAAAACACTTGCTTATCCATGTCCATTGCTCCTGGAATCAGCCTAGAGGCCCATAAACTGACCAGTGAATAATGAAAATGTGATAGAATGGAATTTTACTCAATCATAAAGAAAACTGAAATTAAGCAACCTGCAGGAAAATGGACCAAATGATATTATACTAAGGTAGCCCAGGCCAGCAAGACAAATGCTGTGTGTTCTCATGTGGATCCCAGCTTTGAATTTTCACAATTGTGTGTTAATTTGGAGTGTCTGGAGGACAGGAAGTTAGAAAGGGCCCAAGAGGAATGGAAGGAATGAGGTCTTAAGGGTTGAAGTGTTAGTAGAACTCAAATGCTATGAAAGGGCAGGGGCACTGGGGGCTAAAGGTTTAAGTGGAAGCTGAGGCAGGGGATGAAGAAGAGGAGTTGCCTGTGTAGGTTAACCAAACTGCAGATATATACAATTCCCTTATAGAAATACACCACTTTACATCTGATTAAAAATAGAATTTTTTAAGGTCTGAACACAGGTACCCTGCATGGATAGATAGGGGGTGCTTCCCTAGAAGACATGAGTAACTAAATGAAAATCTCAGTACTAGTATGGGATAGCTACCTAGGAGTAACTCGTCAGAGAAAGCCCAGAGGACCCTAAAACAATACAAGCTATTGATCGCCATCTGTCTCGGTTGCCCATCAGAACTAGGTGGTGAGACTGTTATTGAAGACACACGCACTTCAGTTGCAACATAGAGAAAACTGGAACGGACCTCAAAACCTCCTCCCTGGTACCTGAAAAGTGACTCATAACTGGTCAAGGGCTTACAATAAGTGGCTGTTGAATGCTCTGCCTTTTATGAGACTTCTATAAGCACCACTAAAGCCTGCCCAAGGCTCAGGGACACAGCATAAAAGCAAACAAAAAGAATACAAGAGCCAGAGGAGACACTGTAACTACCATCTTCTGGGTGTGGCATGGCTGTGGCGCTCAGGAATTCATTGCAACTGTGGCAACCTATACAAGACCTGCATGAGATGAAGCTGACAATATTGACTACAGAAGGCAGAACTGGACTCAGGGGAAGGAGCAGGGAGGGCTGTCTGTGGGAGGTTGTGGATAGTTACCAAGAGAGATATCTGAATGTATGAAATTATCAAAAGATAAAAAGATTCAAAACATTTTAGCAATTGAAAATTTTCCTAAGTGGTTTAAAACACTTCATTTCCTATAAATTATCTGGCTATAGCAAACAATTCCAACATTTACTGGGTGCTTACTAACTTACTTTACTATTGAGTTCTGAAGAGCAAGCCTAGCACCGTATGCCTGCTAGGCAAGCAGTCTACCCCAATACACTCCTGAGCTACATCCCCAGACCAAGTACTGAAAGCCAGTATTAAACAGTTAATCACTTAACATCACAACCAGCTCAGTACAGTGTTGCACTTTCCCTGATAAGTGAACTAAACATGTATGTCAATGTCTGTTTTCTATAAAACATTCTGCTATATTAGACTTGAGACTCAGAGCTCGGAAGAAGGAAAGGATGCACTTGGACTCACAGTCTGGGAAGTTTGAGTGCGTAGTCCATTGGCTTTAGAGATTTGAGGCCTATTATGAAGCAGAACAAAATGATGGAATTAAGATGTCATGAGGCAGCAGCACACAGCTCACAGTGGAACAAGTCCACGCCCAACCAAATCCCAGCATGGAGATGGGACACAAGCATGAAATCCCAGCCCTAGCCAGGAGCTATTGGCAATTGTTTGCTTCAGGGAGAGGGAGAGTGTTTAAGTGCAGCCCCTGACAAGTCAGCCACGTTCCAGGAGAAGGCCATACGCCCAAGACCATTTGAGCTACACAAATTGATCTTGATCGGTTCTTTGTTTGTTTTTAAGAATACAAAATTGGGTGGGTGAGGAAGAGTTGGGGGAGGAGATGAATATGATCAAAACATGGAACTCTCACAGAACTAATGCATGTTTTGTTTGTTCTGGTATTGGGGGGGGTTGTTTTGGTTTTTGGTTTGGTTTGGTTTGAGTGGTTTTTCAAGACGGTTTCAATGTGTAGCCTTGGCTGTCCTGGAACTCACTCTGTAGACCAGGCTGGCCTCGAACTCACAGAAATCCACCTGCCTCTGCCTCCTGAGTGCTGGAATTAAAGAAGTACTCCACCACTGCCTGGCTAACACATGTTTTAAAACCAAGTTAAAACAGGCAGGAAATAAAAAAAAGAGTCAGTGGGGGCCCATTGAGTTGGTGTCTGTCACAGGATGAAAGAGAAAAGGAGACCATGGGCTAAATTGTCTTTAAAGGCACCCAGTGACAGAGGACTTCCTGCTGTGAGCTACAGAAATATAAAGTAGGAATTCAGCTGACTATGGAAAAGCTATTACCTGGAAGAGTCTCTTCCGGAGGATAAAGCCAAAACTCAAGGTGTATTGGTAATATTGGCTTTTGAATATATTAGTTGTATCCTGCAGCAAATTTCTTATGTGCTATTGTAGCTTTCCCATTTGATTCTCTTCCCAAGAACTTCTAACAGTGTGATCAATCATCTATTGGGCTTAACTTCCCATATACATTCCCCAGCTGTGTTTATTCTTCATTAGCAAACATCTGGCCAGGGCCATTCTCCATACAAAAGTATTTCATCTAAGATACTTTTCTGCATCCAAGGACAAACTGCAGATAGATAAGCATTAGCTCATCTCACCTACAGATAAGAAAATAACCACTAACAATTAAATCCTTAACTCCTTACCTTCACCCTGGTTTATTTACACAAGATCCTAATTTAAGGGATTTACTGCTTACAATTCTGGCATAGTGTTTTGAACATCTGCTAGTTACTGACCCAAGGAGTTTACTGACAAGGCCAGGCAGATGATAGGTACCAAACTTCATCTCATATGCAAATTAAGCTTTAATCCTCCCTCCTTTATCTCAGCCCAGGTGTTATTCCTAGTTCTAAAGATTCCTTCCTTAGCAATTAACTCAGAAAGGATTTTACTTACCAACTACTACACATTGTAATGCAGGTTGCCTAGCAACCAAGTACACTCTTCCTCCCCCTCAGCTCCACCTTACCAGAAAGCGGCACCGCTGAAATAAACTGGGACAAAAGTGGCACCCAAGGAGAAAAAGACAGTTTTACTTTACTAGTGACTTATACTTACATATATAGACTCCTCAGGTTTTACCTAGCCACTTCTAAGATTATAGTCTGAGCACATAAATTCCTTTTTAGAATCCCCTAATGGATTTTAGCCCTTAGTTGACCCTACCGGAGAACTCCCATTAGTCACTCCCCTTTTGGGGTTGTAAAAGAAAGCCTGACAGTCACTGCCTGGTGTAAACTCTTACCAGCCTTTATGGCCCTGAAAGACTTCAAGCCTGGTGACCTCGCGTTGGCCAGAGAGTTGCTGATTGTGTGTGTATATGAACTGGAAATTTGAGAGGGAACGAAGTGAGAAAACAGCAGAAGGGGGCGGAGAGGAGCCGAGTGTGAGAATGAAAGGAAGCTGAGCAGACAGAATTGACTGAGAAGAATGAAGTGAACGGACTCAGGAGCTCGGTGTGCTTAGAGTCTTTCCATACCCCTAAGTTCAGAGCCGCGGCTGGTTGTTAGACTCTTCGATGGACCCTGGGAAAGACTATAAAGGGCTGGACCCTTCGAGTCTTTAATAACTTCCATTGGTCCCTGCTCTTAAGCTTCGTACCATCTTTCAACTGGGAGTCAGCCTTCATTAGAAGCACATGTGCCTCTGAGGGCCATTTCAGATTCAAAAACCAGGAGACAGGTTAGTTTGTCCATAAATGGGAGATTTGGGGTTCTGATGGTGGTTTTCCTAACTGCAAAAGCACTATGCCAGTGATTTTCAAACTTCAGTGAATTAAAAGTCACCTGATGTGCAGGGCTACAGAGGTGGCTCCACACGAAAGAGTCCTGGCTGCTCCTTGAGAGCACCTAGGTTTGGTTCCCAGCACTCACCTGGCAGCTCACACCCATCTGTAACCCCAATTCCAGAGGAACTGACGCCCTCTTCTGACCTCCAAGGGCACTGCACACATGGCACACAGACAAACATGCAGGCAAAACACTTACATAAATTTTTAAGTTTTTTAGTTACCTAAAGGAATTAGATAAAATGCATATCCTGGCAGAGCATGATGGGACACATCGTTAATCCCATCACTTGAGAGGCAGAGATGGGCAGATCTCTGTGAATTCAAGGTCAGAATTCCAGTCTAACCAGGGCTAAACAGAACCTGACTTAAGAGAATAATAGTATAAAACATATCCTTAGGTTTTACTTACCAAAAATCAAATGAGCCTTAGGAAGTAGACATCAACTTTCACCCAAATGATGGGATGCAAGAGGTCTGTGGTCACACTTTGAGAAACACTGCTCTGCACTGAGATGCCATTTAGGATTGCTATTTTATTATTAGTTGCTATATATTACCAATATCATATAATAATTATGATTATAACATGTTTCAACACTATCTTGCCTCTTGTGCAGATGAAGTTTTCCCGGCAACATTCATTGCATGGAAACTGATTATTCATTGATCTATTCAATTAGAAAAATGCCTAGACAATCCTAATATATGAAGCATGTGAATGGAGAAAATCATTATCTGATAAACGAAAGATCTGCTGTGGTGAAGAGTAACAAGGAGTCCCACAGGCTCTCTCAGGGCGCCGAGTCTTCATCCTCGATGTAGCACTAAGAAGTTAGTGACATGCAGAGTGATGTCAGGTAAGTTTCCCTTTTTTATGGGGACACACAGGCCAAGCACAGCTGGCTCCACTCTTTGCTGTTGCTCGGACTATGCAAGGATCTTCAGGCAGGAAGTACACTCGGCTTCTGGCAAGGCACACTAAGTGGGTGACCATGAAATGGTGTCTTAGTCACTGTTCTATTGCTATGAAGAGACACCATGACCAAGACAACTCCTATAAAATAAAGCATTTAATTGGGGATTTTCTTACAGTTTCAGAGGTTTAGTCTATCATCATCATGGTGGCAGGCAGGCAGGGATGGTGCTGGAGAAGTAGCTGGGCTACATCCTGATCTACAAAAAGAGGGAGAGACGGGCCTGATGTGGGCTTTTGAAACCTCAAAGCCTACCCCCACTGACACACCTCCTTGAACAAAGCCACATCTTTTCCAACAAGGCCACACCTCTTAATCCTTTCCTGACAGCTCATTAACTGGGGACTAAGTATGCAAATCCATGAGCCGATGGGGGCCAATCTCAAAACACCACAAAAGTGACATTTGTATTTCAGATTCTTGATGGTGAGCACAAGAGAGAGTTATGATCTTCCAACTGAGAGAGATAGGCTACAAGTGGATGCACTTAGAAACTGCCTCAACCTCATCCACTGCAAACTCATAGTAATTTGGAATTGTGGTAAAATTATGAGAAATGGGCAGTGGATATCCATGATTCTTGGAATTGAAATGGTAATTTCCCGAGTGTTTGGGAAGCTGTAGAGGTTAATTTCAGAACCTGCCTCCTGTGCTCGATAAAGCTCTGTCATCATGCTTTTAGAGTTTTGCTTTTAGAGAATTGTGGCTAGGATTTTAAGGGACTCCAAACTCTAAAGTTACCATATGAGCAGATAAATATCTAATGGAGGGCAAAAAGTTCAAGAAGTTTATGAACTACATCTTTGAAATAGTTCATAGGGCAAGCACACACACACACACACACACACACACACAGAGGCATGCACATACAGTCATAGACACATATACACAGGCACATGCACGCATGGACACACATTCACATATACTCATGCTGGAGTAGAACCAAGTCAACTCTAATATATTGCCAAGGGGTAGATCCTCTTAATGTGTCCTCAGGAAGGAACATAATTCATGTCTACAGAGACTATATTAGTGATTTGCATATAATCAATCTCTTGGTGAACAAGAATGTACCTTCCTCCCTAATCGCTAGGACCCTGTGACTGAATGATCTCCTGAGGAAATCCTCAGTGTGTTCATAAGTGAGTCCTCCATCCTGCAGGCTGTGCTCTGTCCACCTGTACCCTGAGTCCTCCATCCTGCAGGCTGTGCTCTGTCCACCTGTACCCTGAGTCCTCCATCCTGTGGGCTGTGCTCTGTTCATCTGTACTTTGTGTTTTAGTGGGCTCCATGAATCAGAAATAAGTTCTTCATGAGGTCAGGGTTACACTGTGCCACAGTGTGTACTTAGTACTGAAATAGAATTTCTAGAGCTTGGTCAGGAACATGATAAGAAGATCAGTCAACTGTCTCTGCTCCTATCTAATACTGCAAATACAGCAAAAGAAATCAAGGAAACAATCTTATTCATAATAGCCACAAAATTGTGTCTTAGTATAAACCTATCTGGGGAAATTAAAGACATCTCCAATGAAAGCTTTAATGTTAAAGAAAGAAATCAAGAAGTCATTAAAAGATGGAAAGACCTCCCATGCTCATGGGCAAGAAGAATCAATATTTGTGAAAATGACCATCCTATCCAAAATGATCTAAAAATCCTAAGCATTCCTGTTGTAGGATTAGCTTCTCATACATTGTATAAATATGTGCCATTGTGATTGGTTTAATAAAGAGCTGAACGGCCAATAAGTAGACAGGAGAGGTTAGGCAGAACTTCTGTGCAGAGAGAGGAAGTTAGGGGGATGAATCTGGCACATCAAGAGTTGCCAGTGAGATACTGAGGAAGTCAGACATACATTATGGAGGGGAGGTAAAGAGCCACATGGCAGAATGTAGATTAAAAGAAATGGGTTAAGTAATAAGAGCTAGTAGGACAGGCCTAAGCTAAGGCCAAGCTTTCATATTAAGTCTCCATGTCATTATTTGGGGGCTGGAGGGCCAAAGAAAGTCTGGCAAAAGAGACTAGCTATATTTGGCATCCAACGTGAGGTACATAACTGGAGTCCACTGCTTGAGGCATGCAGAGGCACAGGTCCTATAAGAGGTCCTGCTATACAGCAGAGTACTTAAATGGCACAGTGCCAGTGGGAGGCTGTAGTCAGACATTTCTCTCCCACCTGTCAATCCCCAAATAACCATTCAGAAGCTTAATATTACTTATAAATGCTTGGCCAATAGATCAGGCTTGTTACTAGCTAACTCTTACACTCAAATTAACCCATATTTTTTTAATCTATGCTTTGCCATATCGCCCATTGCTTGTTACCTCATTTTCTATACATCATGCTTCCTCACTGCTGGCTGGCATCTCTAATCTCTGCCCTTCTACATCCCATCATTCTCAGTTTGGCTTTGCCACTTAGGCTTATCCCATTCAGCTATTGGACAGTCAGCTTATTCACTAAGCCAATCATAGCAACATATATTCACACAATATACAGAAGGATAATTCCATAGCATTTCCCCTTTTTTAAAAGGAAGGTTTTAAAATTAATGTAGTAAAATTATATACAACAGAACAGTTATCAATTAAAAATTATAGTTACAATATCCAGTTTATTTGTATTTGACAAAATTAGAGAAAATACTCTATTATCTATCTTATCTTGGTGAGTCTAAAGATTTATACCTAATTTGCTTTCTATTATAACTAAGGAAAACTAGAAGTTTAACTATTTAGTCTTTAACCCCATCAAATATCCCACAAGGATGAAATAATACCTAATGACAGGGACATGTAGAAAAGTTTCCTGATTTGATTCTAAAGGAAATTGAGACTTCATCAATTAGGAGGAATAGACCCAACAGAAATTGTAGTACCTTTTACTAATGCTGAAATTTCCTCTTTATGGGAAGAAAATGAACATTGGCAAAGAGCTTGCAGTAATTTTTTTTTGAGAGAAATTAATAACAAATATTCCAAAAGCAAGAGAATTCAGTTTATAAAGAGAACTAACTGGGTCCTTCCTCACATTGTACAGGGAATATCAATTTCTGGAGGCCCTACATTCTATACTGATGCAAACAAATCAGGAAAGACAGGTGATAAATCAGGAAATTTAAATAAAGTGGCTCAAAGCTCTTATGATTGTGTTCAAAAGTCAGAATTGTATGCTATAATCATAGTATTAGATTTTCCAAAACCTCTTAATATAGTTACTGACTCTCAATATGCAGAAAGAGTTGTTTTATATGTTGAAAGTGCTAGATTTATTCTAGATGATTTAGAACTGACTTTGTTATTTGCTACAAGAAATAATCATCTAGTTTCCTGTACATGATTTCAAATTTGAGTCTCTATCAGATAACTAGGAATTAAGTTTTTGTGCTCTGGATGTACATAATAAATTATGGTCCTTTAACCTCTTCGAGATCTGTTGTATATGATATTTAAATGTTTAAGTTTTCTGCAGTGAACCATGACCATGCCTAACAACGACCTTTGAAGTCTCCAAAAGGAGGGTGGGGCCCCACAATGAGGATTCCAACTGGACTATGGTAATGCCGCTAAACTGGCAAACACCACCCAAAGATTGGCTTTGGATTACAAACTGCTCAGGATAATTTCAAGGTGGCTGGCTGAGATGGTCCAGCCTCACAGACTACTCTAGCTAGGACTTGAGACAAGCCCTGCACTTTCTCATCACACAGAGACTGGACAACAAATGATACAGCTAGCTCTCCCAGAACTTGACAATTATTCCGATTTTTTTCAGGGTTCCCTAGAGATGCTGTTGCCCCCAGGCAACAGGAAGTAATTTTAAGAACATGATGCCCACATTCCCAAGAGGTAGGGTGGGTGGTTTTTGGTCATTCAGTGGGTTATGAATGTATGTCATTGTTTAGGGGGGTTGCAAGTTGTTAATGGTCATGGTCAGGGAAAAAAACTAAGCAAAGGAGGTTAGATTCAGGGATCTCTTTCTGAAAAGAAAAAAAGGGGGGATATAGGAATGATAGGATAAAAGCGTAGATTATTGAATCTACTTTTAAACTAAAAAAAAACAAGTATTAACCTCAAATATTTTACATTCATATGGATTTTTATATATTGATACAAATTTAAGGTTTTTTTGCTTTAACATACTGTATGTTATAGATGTAACCAACCGTCTTATTAAATAAGAAACACAGAAACAATGTAAAAGAGAAAGCCGAGAGGTCAGAGCTCAGAGCTAAAATCTCACCCTTCCTCCTGCTGTCCCAGCTTCGCGAAAAAAGACCTACTTCCTGTCGGTTCGTTTTTTTATAGTATGTTGTTCTGCCTTCTCATTGGTTGTAAACCCAAACATATGACTGCCTCGTCACTGTCTGAATGTACAGCCCCCTAGGTCTTAAAGGCATATGTCTCCAACGCTGACTGTATCCCTGAACACACAGAGATCTTATGGGATTAAAGGCGTGTGCCACCACCGCCACACTCTTGCTATGGCTCTAATAGCTCTGACCCCCAGACAACTTTATTTATTAACATACAATCAAAATAATATTTCAGTACAATTAGATTACCACCACAGTATGTTTCTACTCTTGTTTAAGGTACTGTACCTATGCAGCTCATTAAAAAATGTAAAGTTAAGCCAGGCGGTGGTGGCGCACGCCTTTAATCCCAGCACTCGGGAGGCAGAGCCAGGCGGATCTCTGTGAGTTCAAGGCCAGCCTGGGCTACCAAGTGAGTTCCAGGAAAGGCGCAAAGCTACACAGAGAAACCCTGTCTCGAAAAAAAAAAAAAAAAAAAAATGTAAAGTTAGAGTCCTTGAAAGATATTATAAACTATTTAGTATAATTAAGAAATGCAAAGTTAGTAGTTAGTCATCTATAACAATCAAACTTGTAATCAGGTATGTTTTCAAGGTCAAACAGATTTTTTTTTAGATAGATGGTCATTAAACACTTCAGAGATCTACAGAATATAGCATTTATGATGTTTTAATAGCATAAGACTTTTCATCACAGTGAGATACATCTGCTCCTGGCAGCACCAGTCTACTTCAGAGAAGATGATGGGCATTGAAGAACCTTACATGGAGTTTGCTTTTTTTGTGACAAAGTTAGCCACTGTGCAAGATATTGCCCTTCCCTTGACTGCTGACAATATGTTGTCTATGTTGGACAAGAAAGACACAAAGGACTGCTGAACTTTGCCAAGACAAGGTAGGACAGTCCTTCAAAATTCCTGCTTCATAGAAAAGTCTGTCAGATATTCTAGGCTTGTAGGCCAAAGATGGATGCACCAACACTACAGAGGAAACTTGGGTGACTGTCCAGGCAGCCAGCTGTCTCTGTTGTTTCTATAGTTTTGGAAGTTGCTTGCTCTGCACTTCCTGTTTAGTCAAGTAATATTTTATCCTTTTTGGGTCTCTGATGGGGTTGAAGACTAGATAGTTACAGTTACAGTTTTCCTTGTTACCAAATTCAGAAAAGAAACTCACATAAAAGATGTAAAGTTTATAAAGGTTGAGAGAGATAAAAGCTTAAGTTGTTTATCTAATAAAATGTTTTAAGGTCTAAAAAGATATTTTTAGGTTGGTAATACAAGTTATGATAAAAAGTGGTTTAGGTAGAAAACTTTGAACTCATCAGTATATGAGAGATAATGGAGTAATTTCTCCGAATTTGCCAAATACAAGTGGACTGGACATTGTAAACGTAATTCTTACTTGATAATTGTTCTTATTGTATATAATTTTCCTGGGTTAGAGTTAAAAACCTTTCCTTTCTATTTAAACAAAAAGGGGGAAATGTTGTAGGATCATCTTTTGTACACTGTGTGAAGATATGTTGTTGTGAGTGGTTTAATAAAGAGCTGAATGGCCAATAGGTAGGCAGGAGAATTTAGGCAGGGTTTCTGGGCAGAGAGAGGAACTCAGAGGGATAAATCTGGTGTGGCAAGAGACGCCAGTGAGACACTGAGGAAGTCAGACATACATTATGGAGGAGAGGTAAAGAGCCATGTAGCAGAATGTAGATTATTAGAAATGGGTTAATTTAAGTTATAAGAGGTAGTAGGACAAGCCTAAGCTAAGACCAATTATTATTATAATTAATAATAAGTCTCCATGTCATTATTTGGGGGCTGGTGGCCCAAAGAAAGTTTGACAAGAAAGACTAAGCTACACATTCCCAGTCAGAAGTCCAGGACAGTTTTTCTATGGCCATGAACACCAGGCCCAGGTCTCACCACCCACAGGGCCTGGCCCCTCCCACATCAATCATTAATCAATAAAATGCCTTACAAACTTTCTTATAGGCCAATTTTTTTTTTTTTAATTTTTCGAGACAGGGTTTCTCTGTGTAGTTTTG